GGGTGGATATAAAAATAATTAAAAAGACAAATTTGATTAAGATAGGAAAACAAGATACGTCGAAGTTATGGACAAAGGCAATGAGATAAAAAAAATAAAACTATTGCATAATGTGTAGTTGTGTATTATGTACGATATATTAAATTTATAGATCAATTGAATACGAATTGCAAAAGTTTTAATATAAGCAAGTAAATATATCGTATGTATTTATGATATGTAAATGCAAAGGGAAAAAATAGAAAAAAAAAATAAAAAAATAAAAAAATAAAAAACCTACGACATAGCGTATTCCCATGTGGTCCCCCACCATAGTACTGACGCTACCAGGAGAGACTTAACTGCGGAGATCAGACGGGATCCGGTGTGTTACTATCTGTATGGCCGTAGATTAATTACATATAAAAAAAAATTATTATATAGGAGATTAAAATAATCCAAAATAATCGGGTATAATAGGGTTATACTGGCTAAATAAAAAGCGGTTTGATTACATAAAAAGCGGTTTGATTACACAAAAGGTGGATATGGTTAAGTAAAAGGTGGATATGGTTAAGTAAAAGGCGGCTTAGTTAAATGAATGACCCAAACAGTATATTACTGGCCATATAAAAGGCGGTCTGCTTAAACCCAAAGCGGTTTGATTAATTAACCATAGTCTAATTAAGTAAATGACCCGAATTGGAGAATCTTGGTAGAAAAAAGCATGGTCTGGTTAAACCAAAGGTGGTCTGGTTATATTAAAGGCGGTTGGCTTAACCAAAAGGTGGTCTACTCAATTATCTTTGATATAATTAATTAATTGACCCGAATGATATAGTCCTGGTATATTAAAGCACAGTCTGGTTAAATAAAATACGGTTAGGTCAAACCAAAGGTGGTATGGTTCATTAAAAGGCGATCAGCTTAAACTAAAGGCGGTCTGCTTAAACTAAAGGCGATTAGCTTAAACTAAAGACGGTCTGCTTAAACTAAAGGCGATCAGCTTAAACTAAAGGCGGTCTGCTTAAACTAAAGGCGATTAGCTTAAACTAAAGACGGTCTGCTTAAACTAAAGGCGATCAGCTTAAATTAAAGACGGTCTGCTTAAATTAAAGACGGTCTGCTTAAACTAAAGGCGATCAGCTTAAATTAAAGACGGTCTGCTTAAACTAAAGGCGATCAGCTTAAATTAAAGACGGTCTGCTTAAATTAAAGGCGATCAGCTTAAATTAAAGACGGTCTGCTTATACTAAAGGCGATCTGCTTATACTAAAGGCGATCAGCTTAAACTAAAGGCGGTCTGCTTATACTAAAGGCGGTCTGCTTATACTAAAGGCGATCTGCTTATACTAAAGGCGATCAGCTTAAACTAAAGGCGGTCTGCTTAAATTAAAGGCGGTCTGCTTAATTAATTATACCTTAATTAATTATTTGACCAGAATGGTAGAATCCTGGTAGACTTAA